AAAAAATTCATTAAAATTAAAGAAAATAATTGAATTCTTTCAGAGGAATTTAATTAAAATTGTATTAAAAATAATTTAATTCTTGCAATAAATTTTTTGTATCTTTAGAAATAATTAAATTGTTTCAATAAATTCAACGAAAATTGAATTTAAAATAATTGAATTATTTTATACAAATTTTATCAAAAAGTTTGAAAATAAATAATAATAAATCGCAAAGCCTGTACTTATTACATAAAATAAATTAATTACACATAAGAAATGAATAAAAAATTTTATGTAACAACATAAAAGAAAATTACATTAAAATCAACGCTCAGTTTATTTCATTCAAACAGTTCATAAATAATATCAACTTCGCAAATAATAAAAATTCATTTATTAGATAACATTATTTTTGCAAATTAATTTGCATTTCTCTTTATCATTTAAATAAAGTAAACTTCGAATATTATTTTTCAAATAACAAACACTTTTTCACTTCTATATTCATTAAAAAAATATGTTCTATTCTTAATTGGACAAACATTATCGTAATATTTAAATTAATCAACAAATAAAATTAGTCATTGGCATTAAAAAATTAATAATATATCTCTTTTGTATTAAAAAATGTAAAAAAAACCTTCTTATCATAATTTATTATTTAAAAGTTTTTCAGACCAAAACAGTATTCAAATATCGACAAAAAAAACCAATAAAATTAATAAAAATTTGCGATTCAAAATTTTTAATTGACAAAAAAACATTCTTTTAAATAACACATTTCAATAAGACCGTAAATTGTAATTTTCTTTTGAATTTTATTAACAATTAGTCGACTATAAATAATCTTCAATTTATCCAAAGACTTAAAACTTCATAAAAAATAGTCTAACCCTAAAAGTTTCAATAAAATCTAAATTTTATTCTACGAAGAATTCAAGAGATAATTCTAGAAAGAATTCAAGAGATAATTCTAGAAGGAATTCAAGAGATAATTCCAAAAAAATTCAAGATATAATTCTAGAAAAAAATCAAGAGATAATTCTAGAAAAAAATCAAGAGATAATTCTAGAAAGAATTCTAGAAAGAATTCTAGAAAGTAAAGCCAAAAAAAAAAATAAAAAATCCCTTGATCATCAATTAACGAAAAAATGGTTAATTTTTCACTACTGTTTATTGTAACGCTTGCAATATTTCCGTGCGTAATAAATGCGGAATGTTGTCGAAGGACAAAATTAAGGTTCGAACGAGTGGACGATTCAAAAAGTTGTTATCATTTTGGGGGAATGGTATCATTGGACAATATGGTTGTAATGTATCCCATTTACAGTTTTCAAATTAAATCTTACGAAGAAAATGGAGATTGTATAATTTCGGCATGTGGCGATGGAAAGAGACCTGATAATAAAAAAACCTTCTGTGGCATTGGTTCATGCAATATATTCGGCTGCAATTGTGACGGTGGTTGCATTCCCGGAAATGCTACTGAAAGTTTTAAAGCATTACATGGAAAAAAAGTGCGCAATGTGAGACTTTAATTTTTCTATTGTCAAAATATTGACAGACGTTTCAAAAAAAAAAAAGAAAATTCAATAAAAATTTTTTCAATACGAAAATTTTAAAAATAGAAAAAAATAGAAAAAAATAATAAAGAAACCAATTGGTTTCTGTATTATTTTATTATTTTTTTTTCTTTCTAATTCTCTATTTAACTTTCTATATTTTTATATAGACTTCTTATGTAATATTTAGAAATAAACTATTTTTCATAATAGAATAAAATGTTTTGTTCTCTTTTTGGCAATTTTTAAATTTTGTAATACAACTTTTTTTTTAATCAGAGAAATTGTTTATGAATTCAAAACTATTTCCCAACTCTACTTGTTGAGATTAAATACGATTCATTAATTAAATTTGACTAATAGATTAAATATCTGATTAATAAATTAAATATGCTCAATAAGTTAAAAATGAAATAATGAATAAATAATTCATTATTCGACTAATGAATGTATAATTAATTTCAATATTTTATTTTCATAAATTTTTTCTTATTATTTTCAATATTTAAATTTTAATATTTTTTTTAAACTACTTTTCTATCGCAGATGATTGTGAAAATCGATTTTTTACTTCGTTAATAAATTCTTCTTATTGCATACACGAAATTAATTACTTAAAAACAATTAATTTTATTATATAAAAGAAATTAATCACATAAAGAAAATTTATCGTATTAAAAAAACTTATATTAATATCAATGCTTTAGTATTTATTCTAATCAAACATTTCATGTTCCTAAAGTTTTAAACGTTTAAATGAGGGAAAAAATTTTTTTCCGGCTTTTAATTTGCATTTTTTTATGAAAAAAAAAAATTATATTTATAGAAAAAATTATTCTTTGAATAAGTAAATGATTAATTTTGATCATTTCTCCATTTTGTAGATTAATTTTTAAAAAATATTTAAATTACAGAAAAATAATTTCGTTCATACGTTCAAAACTTAAGTAAAAATCATTTTATACTTATATAAATTCAATTTCAAAATAAAGTAAATTTCTTCATTATTTTTCAAATAATGAACACTTTTGACTTCTGTCAAAATTTTTTAATCAAACTATTATACAAAATTTAATAAAAAAAAAGTAAATAAAACTAATTTCTATTTATAATTTCAATTCAAGAAAACCATGTTTTATTTCAATAAGATTTATAATAATAAAGAATTTATAAGATTTATAATAATAATGACATTTCAATAAGATGAAAGGAGTAAATTTCTTTTATATTGCATAAATAATAGTCCACTATACACATTCGTCAATTTATCAATTATTCGACTATAAATATTCATTAATTTATCCTTTATTCAACTACAAAAAATTCGTCAATTTATCCATTATTCGACTATAAATATTCGTCAATTTATCCAAAGACTAAAAAGTCCAGAGAAATTTGTAGAAAGAATTATAGAAAGAAATTCTAAAAAGAAAAAAAGAAAGAAAGAAGAAAGAAGAAGGAAAAAAGAAAAAAAGAAAAAATACTCGAAAGCACCAAATTACGGAAAAATGTTGAATTTTTCATTACTATTTATTGTAACGCTGGCAATATTTCCGTGCCTAATAAATGCGGAATGTTGTGGAATTGAAAAAATAAAGTTCGAACGAGTGGACAAATCATTAAGTTGTTATCATTTTGGAGGAATTAATGAAATAAATGATGTGGTTTTAATGCATCCGATTTATGGTCGTCGACGTGAATATTACGAAAAACGTACAGATTGTATAATTACGGCATGCGGCGATGGAAAACGACTTGAAAGAAAAAAATCCTACTGTGGCAATGGTTCATGCAATATATTCGGCTGCAATTGTGACGGTGGTTGCATTCCCGGAAATGCTACCGAAAATTTTAAAGCATTACACGGAAATCAAGTGCGCAATGTGAGAGTTTAATTTTCATCAAAATAGTGTCAAAAAAAAAAAGAAAATTCAATTGAAATGTTTGTAACATAATAAGAAAATTTCGAAAATAAAGAAAAAAATAAGAAAATTATAAAAAATAATAGGAAAATAATAAAAAACCAAAATAACTTCTTCCTTTAATATAAAAAACCACTTTGTTTTCTTTTTTCTTTTCTTTTTATTTTCTTATTTTTTTTTGTTCTTTTTAATTTTCTGCACTGAATAAAAATTTAATTGATTCAAATAACCAATTAATTGACTATTATCAATTGAATATTTAATTGAATCAAATAATATTTATTGAAGTCAATTAAATTATTTTTCCAGTGTATATTAATATATTTAACGTTTTATGCAATATTTAGAAATAAACTATTTTTTAAATTAGAATAAAATGTTTTATTCTCCTTTTGTCAATTTGTAAATTTGTTAATTGTTATACAACTTTTTTTTTAATCAGAGAAATTGTTTATGAATTTAAAACTTTTTCACAATTCTATTTGTTAAGATAAAAGATTAAATTGTTAAAGATAAAATTATTCATTAATTCTTGACTAATAAATTAAATATGATTAATAAATTAAATATTTTCATAAGTTGTTTCTTAATGTTTTCAATATTTTAAATTTAATAATTTTTAAACAACTTTCTATCACTGATGATTGTGAGAATCGATTTTTTTACTTTATTAATAAATTCTCATTACATAAATGAAATTAATTACTTAAAAACAATTAATTTTATTACATAAGATAAATTATAAAGAAAATTTGACACATTAAAAGAAAATTACATCAAAATCTCTCGATTTTGATGTAATTTCCTCTTAATGTGTCAAATTTAAATAATAAAAAATGTTTGTTTAACAAAAAAACAGTCAAAAATAATTTTATACTGCAAAAAATATAAATTGATACAAATAAAAAAATTTAGAGAGTATATGTGGAATTTATAATAAAGATTTATTAAAAAAAAAAAATAACTAATTCTTTTTCTATAATTCATAAATAATCACAATTATTAAACGAAATAATAAAATATTAAGTATTTATATTCAATAAAACTTTGTCTTCTAGATAAAGTTATTTTTGCAAATTTGCATTTCTCTTTATCAGTGAAATAAAGTTAACTGCCTCATTATTATTTAAACAATAAACATTCTTTTAATCTTCAATTTTTACATTTATTAAAAAATGTGTTCATTCATTAAGAATTATCGTAATATTTAAATTGGACAACAACAAAAATCAATGACGTCAAAAATATGTTTCCTTTGTATTAAAAAAAAATTCAAGAAAGACATTCTTTTCATAATTTATCAATTGAAAGATTTTTAGATCAAACTATTATACAAAATTTAATAAAAAAAAAAAGTAATAAAAATAATTTCTATTTGAAATTTCAATTGAAAAAACTCTTTTGCATAACACATTTCAAAATCCCGAAAGGAGTAAATTTCTTTTGTATTTTATTAACTATTGTTAATTTTTTTATTGTCGACTATAGATATTCGTGAATTTATCCAATTAATCGACTATAAATATTCGTCAATTTATCTATTAATCGATTATAAATATTCGACAATTTATCCAAAGACTCAACAGTCCAGAGAAGTTTGTAGAAGAAATTCTAGATAGAAATTCTAAAAAGAAAAAAAGAAAAAAAAAGAAAGAAAAAGGAAAAAAATACTAGAAAGCACCAAATTACGGAAAAATGTTTAATTTTTCATTACTGTTTATTGTAACGCTGGCAATATTTCCGTGCCTATTAAATGCGGAATGTTGTGGAAGTAAAAAAATTAAGTTCGAACGAGTCGACAATTCAATAAGTTGCCATCATTTTGGAGGAATTAATCCAATAGAAGATGAGGTTGTAATTTACCCGATTTATAGTCTTCGACATGAATATTACGAAAAACGTGGAGATTGTTTAATTTCGGCATGCGGCGATGGAAAAAAACCCGAAGGAAAACAATCCTACTGTGGCAATGGTTCATGCAATATATTCGGCTGCAATTGTGACGGTGGTTGCATTCCCGGAAATGCTACCGAAAGCTTTAAAGCATTACATGGAAATAAAGTGCGCAATGTGAGTCGTTAATTTTTCTATTGTCAAAATTAACAAAAAAGTGTCAAAAAAGAAAATTTAATTGAAATTTCTAAAAAATAAGAAAATAATAAAAAAATAATAGTGACAAATGATTTTTGTACTTCATTAATAAATTCTTCTTATTACAAAAAAGAAATTTATTTCATCGCATAAAAGAAATTATAATTACTTAAAAACAGTTAACTTTTATATTTAAATAATTGAATTTCGCTACTTTTTTGTAATTAATTATCGAGTGCGAAAGCTACTTCAGTTTATTTTAATCAAACATTTCCTAAATAAATTCAGTTTCGCAAATAATAAAAATTTGTTTACTAAATAAATATTTTTTCAAATTTTCAATTCTCTTTATGAGTGATATAAAGTAAACTTCAAATATATTCATTAAAAAATCTGTTCGTTAATTACGAATTATCGTAATATTCAAATTAGACAACAACAAAAATCAATGACGTCAAAAATATGTTTCTTTTTATTAAAAAAAGATTCATTTTTATCATAATTTATCATTTGAAAGATTTTTCAGGGATGAAATTAGTTCTATAAAATTAATAATTAAAGTAGCAAACCTTTTCAAAATTCAATTATTTATAAAAATTCACTCTATAAGGCTTTAAATATTCAATTATTATCTAAAATTTTAACTAAAACTCAATTTTTAAATCAAATTTTATTAGAAAATTCTACGAGAATTCAATTATTTATATACAAAAAATAAATAACATTGAATAATTAAATGTTTCTCAAAATTGAATTTTAATAAAAAATTTTATTTAAAAAATTTTCAAACAATTGACTTCTTTTGACGAATTTCAATTATTTTCGACGAATTCAATTAAAATTGTATTGAAAATAATTGAATCCCTGTAAAAAAATTTGATTATTTATAATAATTGAATTATTGTGAAGAAATTTTTAAACAATTTGTTAATACATAATTGAATTCCTGTGAAATTTTAATTATTTATGAAAATAATTAATTTTTTACGTAAAATTTAATTAATTTTTTTTTTAATAATTGAATTGTTTTGTAAAACTTTATTAAAATAGTAAATATTGAAAATGACTGAATTAAGGAAAATTTGTAAAAATTATTGAAATTTTGCCAAGAAATTATTAAAATTTTTGAATATAATTGAATTTCTAAAAAGAATTTTATTATTTATTATAAAAAGTAAAATTTTTCAAAGAATTTAAAAAATTTTTTGAACATAATTGGATTTTTGCAATCATTTGTAACTTCACCAAAATTATTATTTTTAATAACTAATTCAATATATATTAAAAAAATTTAATTAACTTCAGTATAATTCGAATTTTAAAAATTTTTCAAAAATTTAAGTTCTTTAAAATTTCTAATGAAATTCATTAAAAATTAAAATTTTACAAAATTTCAAATTAAAATCCTCTCATATCATCTATTTATGAAAATTGTAAACGTAACTCTTTTAAAATTCAATTAATTTTCAAATATTTAAATCAAATTATTTATTAAATAATTTTTGAGAAATAATTTTATATAATAAGAATTAATTTAATTGAAAAGAAATTATTTTCTGAAGTAGAAAAAATTGAAGGTTTTTTATTAGAATTTGTGGTAATTTCATAGTTTATAGACACAAAAATTCAGAGTTTTCCTAGAAATTGAATATTTTTCCAATACAAAAAGCCAATAATTTTTCAGAATTCCAATAAAAATTCCAACTTTTCCAGGTTTTTTCAATCTTTATAAAATTCCCTGACATTTCCAGGTTGTCCAGGTTGCGTGGCAACACTGATTTTTGGATCAAACTATTATATAAAATTTAACAAAAAAAAGTAATAAAACTATTTTCTATTTGCAATTTTAATTTAAAAAAAAACTCTTTTGCATAACATATTTCAAAATGACGAAAGGAGTAAATTTCCTTTGTATTGTATTAACATAAGTTAACTATAAATATTCACCAATTTATTCATTAATCAACTATAAATATTCATTAATTTATTCATCTATCGACTAGAAATATTCGTCAATTTATCAATTTATCAATTTTTTAACTATAAATATTAATCAATTTATCCTTTATTCGACTATAAATATTCGTCAGTTTATCTATAAAATAGATTATAAATATTAGTCAATTTATCTATTAATCGATTATAAATATTCGTCAATTTATCCAAAGACTTAAAAGTCCAGAGAAGTTTGTAGAAAGAATTATAGAAAGGAATTCTAAAAATAAAGAAAGAAAGAAGAAAGAAGAAAAAAAGAAAAAAAATACTCAAAGGCACCAAATTACGGGAAAAATGTTTAATTTTTCATTACTTTTTATTGTAACACTGGCAATATTTCCGTGCCTATTAAATGCGGAATGTTGTGAAAAAGAAAAAATTAAGTTCGAACGAGTGGACAATTCATTGAGTTGTCAATATTTTGGAGGATATAATCCAATGGATGATATGGTTGTAATGTTTCCGATTTACAGTCTTCGATATAAATTTTACGAACAACGTGGAGATTGTTTAACTTTTGCATGTGGCGATGGAAAATCACTCAAAGGTAAAGATTCCTACTGTGGCATTGGTTCATGCAATATATTCGGCTGCAATTGTGACGGTGGTTGCATTCCCGGAAATGCTACCGAAAGTTTTAAAGCATTACATGGAAATAAAGTGCGCAATGTGAGACTTTAATTTTTCTACTGTCAAAATTCACAAAGACATGTTCTTGAAAGAAAATTCAGTTGAAAGTTAAAAAAAAAATATTAAAAAATAATAAAACATACTTTTTGTATAGTATTCAGAAATAAACTATTTTTAATATCAAAATAAAGTGTTTCGATTCTTTAAGAAAATTTTTAAGTTACAAAAATGTTTTAAAAAAATTTTTGTTAAAAAACAAAAATCCTAAATCTGTATTTAGAATAAACTGTTCTTAATATTTAAATAAATTGCATTTTTTTAGTATTTAAAAATTTTTTTTCCCCTTTTTGCAAATTTTTAAAGTTATAAACATTGTTCTTTAATCAGTAAATTTGTTTATAAATTCAAATCCTTTTTCCCACTCTATTTATTATGATCTAATATGATTAATTTCTTAATTATGATTAGTAAATAAAATATGATCAATAAATTAAATTCGAAAAGGTTTATTTATTTAAATTTTATTCAAAGATTTTTTTTAGTCATTTCATTGTCACTCAAATATGTCATGAGCTCATTGTTCCATTTTAGTATTGAATTAATTACATTCATTTAATGTTTCAGTTTAGTCGAACAAACTAAGTCTATAACAATTTACATACATTGTCAAACTTATTTCACATAAATGATAGAGAGATAAAACAAATTTATTCAAAATTATATTAAATTATAAATTATACTTTAAGAGTCAATATGTAAAAATTGTTTGAAAAGACACATTTCTATTACAAGTTCCAATAATAAAAAAAATTCATCTCCAATAATGTAAATTTAAATTTCAAATTTCATTCATATTTTAATTATAATTTAATTGAATTCAAAATTTTATTTTAAGTCTAATTTCAATTTAAAATTTAATTTTAATTGTAAAATTTTATTTTCTTTTAATTCAAAAATCAAAAGTAAATTTTAAGTCTAATTTCAATATTTAAAATTTAATCTTAATTGAATATTTTAATTTTAATTCAATTCGAAAATTAATTTTAACTCTAATTTCAATTTAAAATTTAATCTTAATTGTATATTTTAATTCTAATTAACTTCAAAATTTAATTTAAATTTACTTTTATTTTTAATATTCTAAAATTGTTGAACTTTCAAATGACTGAAACAGTTTCTTATTATAAATATTAAAAAAAATTACTGACTACATTAAAATTTAAGAAGTTTAATAAAAAAATTTTGTAACTTTTATAAATTAATTTTTAATACTTGACTATGTTCAAAATTTGAAAAAAAAAATTCTCGTAAAAATGCTAATTATCTTTATAAATAACAAAATTCTTCTCCAAAGTTCAATTATTTTCATAAATGTCAAAAAAATTCTTGTCCTAATTTCAATCATTTTCAAAATCTACTATTTTAATATAATTTCCCAAAAAGAATTCAATTATTTAAAAAAATTTTAATAAAATTGTATGGAAACATTTAATTATTTTGATAAATAATAAAAATTTCACAGGAATTCAATTATTTTCATAAATAATAAAAATTTTTTAAGGAATTCAATTATTATTTTCATAAAAAATAATTTAAAATTCTAGAAAATAATAATTGAATTAAAATGATGAAAATAATTTTGATGAAGTTACAGTAACAATATACTTATAATATAAAATAATGATTTTATCTCTCGGTCATCCTTTTTGTTTAATTTAAAAAAGGTTTGAATTTGAAATTTTTGAATGTCTTAATTCCTGTGGAAAATCCTGTTCCAAAATGAAAATTAAAAATAGGAATTTTGCAAATATTTTTCTTCTTTTTCTAATACAAAATAATAATTTTGTTTAAAAAAATTGTGATTCATAAACAAAAATAATGCAAAATAAATAAATTTTCTATTTCTTAATCACAATTGTTTAACAATTTTCTAATTTTGTTTAGAAGTAAAGAACAAAAATCTGCATAATTTTAATTTAACAAAACATAATATTTAACAAAGTTTTAGTCTTTTTAAGAGAAGAAATGAAAAAAATTCTGACGATTTCTATTTGTCATTACAAATTTTAATTAATTATAAAATAAAAATAATTATAACATAATAATAAAATATACAATCTATCTAAAGTTAACAAAAAACAAAAGTATAAACAAAATACAACTTCAGAACGTTTAGAACTTTCGGGTCATTAATTTCAATTCAATTTAAATTCAATGTTTTTAATTATCATTTTAATTATTAATACAGATATTCAGTCTGACTGTTAATATTTTGCATTATTATGTTAATTAGATTAGTTTAATTTAATTTAATAATAAAAAATTAATTTAAATTAAAATAAATTTTTAACTGAATTTTAATTTAAACTTCAATTAAATTTTAACTGAATTTAAATTCAATTTGAAATAATTTACAGTAAAATTTGTTTAGAATTTGCAAGTAAACAGTGAAAAAAATATTATTCGAGTCGTACGGTTTTATCCTTATGCAGAGAGAAGTATTAAAATTACCTTTATAGGTTTATACAGTAACATTTTATATTCTGAAAGCATCTTGTCTATATATACGTCTTACATCTTAAATACTAATGCATCTTAAGATATTACATTCTCATTTTGATGACATTTTGAAAGCTCATCTTGAAATTTACTGCCAAGTAATAAAACTACAAAATATAAAACGAATATATTAAGATACAATAAAGTATAGATATATCTTCTTTTTACATTTCTTTAAAACTATAGGTACAACTTTAAAAATTATATTGACTCTCCAGTTTCTACACACTTGTATGACTAACAATAATAATGCAAAATATTCACTTTCATCAAAAGCAGAAATCTAAAAAATGACCAAATGTCTCCATTAATAATAAAAAAGAATAAAATAATAATTAAAAATTCGAATAATTAAAATGAGAATTAAAATAATTAAAATCACGGTTTTCTAAGGATATCAAATTGAGATATTACATTATCATATCATTTTTATGTCATTTTCAAAGCTGACAAAAAACGTATCAAAATTGTTACGATGAAACGTTTTGCTACGTTTTTTGTCTCAATTTGATATCCTTAGAAAAACTGAATAAATTATTATATAATAATTTAAAGAATTACGATAATAATTTTAATATTATCGTAATTACACGATAAAAATTTAAATAATTTAAATAATTTAAATAATAACTAGAATAGTAATCAAAATCATAACTTTCAATCAATTAAATCTAAAGTGCCACTTTACCCGCAAATTAAATCTAATGTAACCCAATTTTTAAAAAGTGTCAACTTATTAATTCAGTGAAAGAGATAAAAAAAAAATTTTTATTTGATCATCATTTGAATATATAATCGACTTCTCCGGACAAACAAAATTTGGGTATAAATACAAATCATCAGAAGAAATATTAAACAAGAAATAATACCTCCTCTCCTGTGATAAGAATAAAAAGAAAAATAATCCACAAAACAAAGAGAGAAAAATGGAAAAATTATATTTTGTATTCTTCCTGGCAATCTGCACAATTCCAAATTTAAGTCACGGCGAATGTTGTTATAAGGAAAAATTATTATTTCAAAAGTCGGACAGGAATTTAAGTTGCGCACATTTTGGCGGAGGAATAGCGAGTACAAATAATGGTGTGACAACTCCATTAAGATTAACCGAGTACGAATATAATGTTAAATATGGACATTGTGAAATATTCGTTTGTCAAAATGGGAGACCACCAGGCGAAGGAACATACTGTGGCAATGGTCCTTGCAATATATTTGGCTGCAATTGCGACAATGGCTGTGTTCAAGGACACGCTCCAAGTTACTTTCAAGCCATTTACCGAGATGAGGTCTATAACGTAAGATAGGCAACGAACTTCGAATAATGTTTGTTTTTTTATTAAATTTATGCGTCTATACTTGTAATTTTATTTTTACCTCTTTTTCGAAATAAATTATTAATTTTTTTTAATAAATTCTGCATTTTTGCTTCTTTATTATTATTTTTTCTGCCTGAGGGGAAAATTAATTTAGAACCTTTGCGCTACTGGACTTTTTTTCTGTATATGGACTAAGAACGTTTTTTTATTTGTATATTGGAAAAGACTTAAAATTCATCATCAAGAGGTTATTATGCGAAATGCTTTTAATTTTTCCGAAAGTAATGAAAATTTTGTTCAGTGACTCAAAATCGGTGGAAAATTTTAACAAACATTACTCGGTAGCGCAAAGGTTAAAAACTAAATTCTAAGCATGAAAATCTAATTGAAGTCTATAAATTTAATGTCTAAACCTAATTTAACGTCCAAACCTAATTTAATTTCTAAATTTAATTTAACCTCTAAATCTAATTTAATCTTCATACCTAATTAAAAAAATCTAAATTCATTAAAATATTTCCATCGTTTCTAAAATTAACGTTTTTCCACGGAGAGAAAAATGTGTCACTATGTATAATAATTATGTTATGTAGTAACATCCAGATTTCACGGAGAAGCATAAATTTTTTGTTTTGTATAAACTGTACGACAAATTGTGCGACTAATTGTGCAACAAGATTTTGTACCATCTTTTATGGTAATCAGTAGCATAATGATAGTACCGCGATGCATCTTCTCTCCAGCATCCGTTTCTCTGAGTAGAGAAATAGAAGTGGGGAAAATGACGAACTAACGGATGAGCTTTGTTCGTATCTTGTTTCGACTCTAAAAATAAAAAAAAATTTTTAAAAAATACTAATAAAAAAAATAAGTTAATAAACCATCGCATGAAAAAAAGAGAATTTTCTTTTTTAATTTTTAAGCTGCTTGTGGAATTAAGAAATAAAATTTATCCGTACCTATTATATGAAGTAAAAAATATTTTACTGGGTAAAATATAATGATGGTACTGCGGTAACAGGGATCACAGCGATATTTTTTTTTATTTTTAAAAAGAGAATTTAGTTTTAAAAAGGGGATTTTCAATATTAAGTCCAAAATAATTGTACTACAGCCAGTACAGTTACGCATTACGAAAAAAAATTAATGACAATATAAATTAAACTAAATTGCTTATAAATGTTTGAAAATAAATTTTGCAAACGAATATATATTTTCCAATATTTTCTTTCAATTGAAATATAATTATCAATTCTATATGAAAATACTGTGGAGCTACTGATAAACGAATCCGAATTTTTCAATTATTCCTCTGATAAATATATTTTATCTATAATATATAATTATCCTATATTATTTACTTACGAAATGAGCTCGACAGAAAACATGTTTTTTAACTCACCTGAAACAAAAAGAAAAGAAAATTCTTTATATTATATTGAAATTAATGCCAAAAAAATAAAAATTATAATTATAACTTAATGAAATTTCCTCTAAAAATAGTAAAATTTTCTATTAAAAAGGTTATTTTCAGAACAATTTTCTTCAGAAGCAATTAAAACTAAAAATTTCAATTTCAAACCTTCTCGAATTATTTCTAAAAATTACAACAGTAACTTTTCCAAAATTTAATTATTTTATAGAATTTTCAACTAAATTTCTCTTAATCAATTGTTTTTAATAATTTTCCAAAAGTTCATCAAGATTTCAATTATTCAATTATTTAAATACAAAAATTAATTAAGTAATAAAAAAAAATTATTTAAAAAAAATTACAATTATTTTTAATAATTTTTGGAAAGTTCATCAAGAATTTAATTCTTTAAGTACGAAAATTAACAAATGAATAAAATAAAGAATTACAATTATTTTCAATAATTTTCCAAAGTTCATTAACAATTCAATTATTTATGTACAAAAATTCAATTCTTTAGAATAATTGTAACTCTCTTCACAGTTTTCATTAAAAAAAAACTATTATGGTCAATTTTTGCAAAATATTTAACCAAAAATATTTAAAATAATTAACTTTTATAGAAAATTATTTTTAAAAAACCTTAAAATTAATATTTACAAATTTTTTTTAAGGTAACTCCTGAAATAAAATTGATTTTTGAATTCTACAGAATTAAAAACTCACCAAATAATTGAAATTTAGTAAAACTTTTCAAAAACAATTGAATTTATTAAAAGAAGTTTCGGAAAAATTAAAAAATAATCAATTTTTTGAAGAATTAAAATTTTTTATTACATATTTTGAAAAAAGATTGCTTGCTCCAAAACCTTAATGTAATTATTTTTATATAGTTATTTCAATTTTTAAAAACTATTTAATTAAAAATATTTAAATTTTTAATTTCAATAAAATTTCAATAAATTAAAAATATGAATCTTAAAAAATTTTCATAAAAAATTCTAAGTATTACTTTTTAATGATAAATCGTCCAAACGCCCATCCTGCCGGAAGGACGTTCCGAAAAAAAGGCTTTTAAAAAAAGGGAATTCAACTTTTCTTTTCTGGCACTCTTTGGTGTTAAAGTAGACGAAAAGACGAAAAAATACATATTTTTGACTTTTTAAAATAATAATTTAAACCATTTTTCAAAGCCTTCAAACTTGCTATGTTTCTAAACAGTGAAAAAAACATTTTTTCGTAAATTTAATGTAAAATCCCCAAAAATCAATATTTTTTGACCGGACAAGTCTCTTTCTCTTCAGAAACGTTCAAAGAATGAAACCTAATTTTTTAATTAAAAAAAAATTCATTTTTAATATTTTTCAGTATATTTGAGTAATACTCAGGCGCGAGTCCCTTCGAAATTGCTCTATAAAATTAATATGGAAGCAGATAAATGTAAAACTAAGTATATCGTTGGAAAGGTAATGAAACAAGCTTTCAAATGATGTAAATATCGAGTCTTTAAATTTATAAACCTGGGCTAGGCAGTCTCTTAAATAAAGCGAAAAGCGTCCTGCCGGCAGGACCGGGCTTCGTCATTCTGTGACTAAAAATTATGTGAATTTTTGGAACATATAACTTCTTCAAACTACCCAGCCCTTAGTTTTGAACTTACAAGCTCGATATTTATATGCGCTGAAAGCTTGTTTCGTTACCTTTCCAATGGTATATTTCGTTTTTTATTTATCTGAATCCATGTTAGTTTTCTTTAGTGATTTCGGAGGGACTCACCTGAGTCTTTTTCGTCCTGCCGGAAGGATGTTGGACGATCTATCATTAAGAAAAAAATATTTTAATACTGTTTTTAATATAATCATCTGAGGATTTTTTTATAAAAAGTTTATTCAGAAATTAAATTATTTTTAGAATTTTCTATTAAAGTTTCTTCAAAATTTGATGAGTTTCAAAAATTTCAATGAAATACTTTAAAAAAATCAATTATTTTCCTTAAAATTTAAAAAAAAATTCAATAATTTAAAAACTTGTTAATTGGAATACATTTCAAAAATTTTACTGCCTTAAAAAATTATTCAAAAATAATATTTGACACTTTTTAAGTTTTTGACTATATAGTTATTTTTCACACATGTGAGTGAAAAAAATATTTTTTATGCAGAAAACAAAAGTGATTTTTGTTTAAAAATTTTTTCAAAGTTTTCAATCAAAAAAAAAAAAATTGTAAACAATTTTTAAGAGAAAAATTTAAATAGAAAAATATTGTTTTCTTCTAAATTTTTTAGTATTATTATAAACGTTGTAAACTTCACCAACATTCTCACACTATATAAAAATCAAAATAATTTGTGTTTTGTACCCAGAAAAAGTGATATTTTGTTGCAATATTTGAATGAAGAGTCGATAAAAGTCGCATTTTGTTAAAATCTTAAAAATAAAAAAGCGAGGAATTTCTACAAAATTAAAATCATGAAGAACAGTTAACTTTTCTTCACAGTTTTCATTAATTTATGAAACAGAAAACAGAAAATTGTGTTTTTGTGCACACTTTTTCATAACTTTTCTGCATTCTTTGCTTTTCACTGTACAGAAAAGTGTTTTTTTATATTTTTTGCTATACATTGTACAAAAAAGTTTCCTTTTCAGCATTCTTTGCTGTACACTGTACAGAAAATTGTACTTTTCTGCATTCTTTACTATAATTTTTTGTACACTGTACAGAAAATTGTACTTTTCTGTATTCTTTGCCATACTTTGCTGCACACTGTACAGAAAATTGTAATTTTCTGCATTCTTTGATATACTTTTCTGCATTTTTAATCATACTTTACTGTACACTGTACAGAAAATTGTAATTTTCTGTATTCTTTGCCATACTTTGCTGCACACTGTACAGAAAATTGTAATTTTCTGCATTCTTTGATATACTTTTCTGTACTTTGTACAGAAAATTGTACTTTTTTGCATTCTTTGCTATATGAAAAAGTATAAATTTCTGAATAATTTTCTGCATACTCTCTAGAAAAGTGTAATTTTCTGCTTACTTTTCTGTTTACTGCATAATATGCACTGTAATCATCATAGAGTTATATTTAGTCCCAAAAACAGTATGAAAACAATGCTCTTTCTAAACTGTTGTTGCATAAAGCACTCTGTGCACCTAATGCAGAAAGCAGAATTTTACGCCCTTGGTGCATAAAGTACTTTCATTAAAACAGTATGAAAATGATGATGTATGATGTTTTTGCCAAATAGGTGTTACACAAAGCACCGTCTGCCCCAAGTGCGAAAAGTAGATGTTTTCGCACTTGGTAAATAATACCCTAATTTTTACCATCTTTCCCGCTACTCATCATAATAATAACATAAGCAAATAAAGCAAAAGCCTAACAATAAATAAAAATTCTGTTACAGGAGGAAGCCTGGATGGGCTGAACAAATTGGGGCGGACCCGGTGGGACGATGGGAGAGGACTACGACGGAGATGGGGGTTGCGGTTCCGGTGAGGAAGAAACCGGTTCAAATCTTCCCCTCTGGGAGGCTGCAGCTGCCGTATTAATTCTGGGCTTTCTAGTGCTAGCAACAGTTCTCGGCAATGCCCTCGTGATCTTGAGTGTCTTCACCTACCGGCCACTAAGGATCGTGCAAAATTTCTTCATCGTCTCATTGGCAGTTGCCGATCTTGCCGTGGCAATACTAGTAATGCCTTTTAACGTCGCCTATTTGCTCCTCGGCAAATGGATATTCGGTATTCATCTCTGCAAATTATGGCTCACATGTGACGTACTATGTTGTACAGCAAGTATTCTAAATCTTTGCGCAATTGCCCTCGATCGTTATTGGGCAATCACAGATCCAATAAATTACGCCCAAAAACGTACGTTAAAGAGAGTATTGGCAACGATAGCGGGCGTCTGGGTGCTATCGGGTGCAATAAGTTCACCGCCACTAGCCGGTTGGAACGACTGGCCAGAGGAACTCGAACCCGGCACTCCATGTCAACTGACAAGGAGGCAGGGCTACGTCATCTATTCAGCTCTCGGTTCATTCTTTATACCATTATTGCTCATGAGTCTTCTCTATTTGGAGATATTTCTCGCGACTCGAAGACGACTACGTGAACGGGCCAAGCAAAGTCGATTGGGCGTTGTGCCATCGGCGAAGCATCGTGAAACTGATGACGCCGAGGAATCAGTTAGTTCGGAGACAAATCACAATGAGAAATCAACGCCAAGATCACAGCCAAAACCATCGCTTGTCGACGATGATGTTACCGAAGTGACAGTGGCTGGTGCTACAACTGGACATTCAAGACGTGGTGGTCCCGGTATCGCGACAACATCCACGACAGTTTATCAGTTCATTGAAGAAAGACAGAGAATTTCTCTGTCAAAAGAGAGACGAGCTGCTAGAACGCTGGGGGTTATAATGGGTGTGTTTGTCGTTTGTTGGCTTCCCTTTTTCCTCATGTATGTCATCGTACCATTTTGTCCTTCTTGCTGTCCCTCCGATAGAGTGGTGTATTTCATCACCTGGTTGGGATACGTCAACAGTGCTCTCAATCCGCTCATTTACACCATCTTCAATCTCGATTACAGGAGGGCTTTCAGGAGGCTTCTTCATATTGGATAAGGAGTTCGTTGAGGGGTTCAAGCTTCCGGACTTTGTAAATATATTCATGTAAGATTTATCGCTCTTCGAGGAAGAAACCACAACACCCAAAAATTAGCATTTTACCAGGAATCTTTTTTCTTTTTTATCAGGAATCTTTATTTTTTTGTAAATCAATTAATCTACAAAAAAATAAAGATTCCTGATTCATAATTTGAAATTTAATCGACATAAAGAACCGTGAGGTTAGGTTCCACATTTTTTCACACTTTGGTTCGATATAACGAATCAAAGTGCGCACGAGCATGACCGTTAAAAGTCACCTTTATAAACGGATGTAAAAATAAATCAACTTTAAAAGGATTCCTCGAAAATAAATATATTTTTCGGTGTTTGTGTTTGTGTGCGAGTACGAGTACGAGTACGAAAACAAACATTCTCAGACTCTTTGTCGTTGGTTTCTATATCGATCCCATCACAAAAGAAGGAAGACTTCTTCTTGAAAATTTCATATAAAAATAAGAAGCCTTGGAAACAACGAAACGTTTTTTTCGTTTCAGAGCTGAGAAATGTTGTCAAAAAAAAAAAAAAAAAAAAACATTGTAAATATCTATAAATAATAATACACTTTGCGAAATGAGAAAACACCTCCGAACATTGTTGTTCAATAATGCAAATCTAGTAAAATTTGTTTCTTTGTTTTTTCTTTTTTTGGTTTTAGAAAGAGAGAAAGTGGCGGATGAGATTGAGTATACAATTTCGAGTCCAAATGAGATATCTTATACTGATTTCGCAGAGTTTCACCGAAGAGGAAAAAGACCTGCCACTTACAGAAAAACCTCTTTATTTTCGGAATTGAAAGTTCCTTATCGAAATGTACAAGGGATCGGAAACTATGCAGCAGATCTTTCCCGATAGACGTCGGACGTGCAACTTGAGCGAACTGTGGTTTCACCGAGGTTCGAATCGTTCGGGAAACTTTGGCCCGAGGGAGCATATTCAATAAAGTACCCGCGTATACATGAAAGATGATATCATTCAGTTCAAACTCTATATATAGCGAAGCTCGAATGGATTCGAATCTGTTTGCCGAGAGAAAAAATTAACAAAATATTTATATTCAAAAAGGGATTTTGGTTTCAATTCTTTTTTTCCACCGAATAAATAATTCCAATTTCTTGTTCGGATCGAAAAAAGGATTTTGGTTACAATTCTTTTTTCGAACCGAATAAATAATTTTGGTTCCGCAATTTTCTTTTTGGACAGAAAAATTGATTCTTTTTTCGAACCGAAAAATGGAATTTCGTTGCTTTTATATCGAATTTCTTCAGTTTCGCAGTATCGCACGCCCTTAATTATACACGTTAATTGTTCAATAAAATATGCCACTTTATCAGCAATAAAGTTCAAACTACAAACTTTATCAAATGTAAAACGCTTGATTAAAGTGCTACTTTATCAAAATACCACTTTATCAAAATGGTCTCTCTAAGGGTTGTTATAAACTCCAGGAAAGTTATTCTATCGCCATAAATTCTCCCTGATTAGAGGATAATCGCGATTTCGAAATTAAGAACCAAAATCGGTTAACTTATATTTATTTTTTCAAAAGTCAATTTTTAATAAATCCTTTTTTTAAAGGAGTCAAAAGGTTTCAATTTCCAGAAAATTATTTTACAGAAACAAAATTTAACACCAAAAAACGAGTATTGTCATCAAATTGAATAGCGATCGTAGTTTTTTTTTTGTAAAATAATTTTTCGTAAAATGACAACTTTGCAAAACTTGCAAATTCGTTAAAATCGAAATACAAAAAAAATAAAAGTCGAAAAAATTAAAAATAGGAAAAACTGGAAATCTTTCGAAATACCTTTTCATTGTCCCGAATAAAAGAAACATAACGTATTTTTCTCCGGAGAAAATTTTAAGTGACAAATATTAGCGAGAGCAACCTTTTTCAATCTCTTTGAACATCATCTCTCTCTCTCTCTTGCTCTCGTCATTTTGATGTCAAAATCAATGAAAATAGAAGCTATCGCTGCAAATCCGCCTAACCTACTTTCGATACTAAGAACGATCAAGAGAGACGAGGTGCGCATCCAAGTGGATGAGCTTCAAGTCGGTTTATGTGGTGGTTAGACATAAAAAAAATATATTTAAACCCACAAGAGCTCGTTTAATGTTATAGAAAAGGTGTAAAAATGACGTTATACAAAAGAAAGAAAGAGTATGTGTAAAACGATCTGCTTCACGAAAGGAATTAAGTAAAAAAAATGAAAAAAATAGAATAGAAAAGAAAAGAAAGAAAAATAATACATAAATGGAACATTTTTTTAATAAAAGACCAGTGGAGTAGAAAATAATCGATAGTAAATTTATTTCTTTCGCGATTTCTCCATCGCGATATAATAAAAAGAGTTATACTCCACTCCTAAACTTCAATCAGTAAATTTTACTCGCAAAAACCAGAGAGAAAGAGTGAGAAATAAAATTTCAAATCGGTTCAAATGGGAATATATATTTTTAAAATGGAATTTATTTTTTTCTGTGTATATTTATTTCCAGAAAGCAAAATTTTTCTAAAACGCAAATTGTAAAAAAAGGATTTTTTTATAAAAGTATTTTTAAAAAATATATTTTTAAAAAATATATTTTTAAAAAAGTTCTTCTAATAAACATTTTTGAAAAACAATTTTTAAAGTTGGATTTGTAAAAACAAACAAACGGAAAATGAAATTAAATACAAAAGTTTCGAAATCAAGAAATTCTGATCGAACATTTATTTATTTCTATATAAAAGAAACTTGCCGTTAAATATAAAAGTACTTTCTTAATTTGAATTAGTAAAAATGTTTACTATTTTGAATTAGTGACTCAATTTTTGCTTTTTAATTAATAAATTTTACTAATGAATTAGTAGGAATTACTATTTTTTAGTAAAATTTACTAAAACTTTAAATAAAGAAAAAAATTAAAAAATGACTATTTATTAGTAAAATTTACTAAAACTTTAAATAAAGAAAAAACAAATGTTACTAATAAATAATTATAAATTATTATTTATTAGTAAAATTTACTAAAATTTTAAATAAATAATAAATGTTACTAATAAATTAGTAGAAATGACTGTTTATTAGTAAAATTTACTTATTCAAATGCAAAAATTCAGTCACTAATTCAAATTAGTAAATCTTTTTACTAATTCAAATTCAGAAATTACTTTTATAATAAATAAATAATTGTTATTACCCCCCAAAAAAATAAATAATTTAAAAATTTCGTCAAGCAGTTGAAAGATTTTTTGTTTCACTTAATTTTCAAGCAAAAAAAAATACCAGAAATTAGTATAGAAATTTCTAACAACTCGAAGCAATAAACGACTAATTTTTATTCACTCAAGACAACTAATAAAATTTAGAGAGCAAATTACTCACGAATTACTATCTGTATTTTAAATATCCCATTTGCCGGGAAATTTTTAAAGAGGAAAATAAGTTTATCCTTATTTTATGATTCACTTTTCATCTCTACTGGTTTTACTGCTTTTTTACTATCGAGTTAAACTGAAAAAAAAACATTAAGAAAAAAAAAATTTCTTTCACCAAAGTAAACTGCAGTAATTGTAAACTGGAAGTCAATTTGCATATCTAGAATAGAGCAGCAAGCTCTTAAAGTGTTAGGACTTATTATACACACTTTCTCACAGTAGTAAAATCGCTGTTTAAAAAAATGGATTATAGTCCCTCTACAATTTTCACTTTAAAATAAGTGAATTTCAATCAGATTTTAGTGAAATTTTAAATTTAAATCGAAAATTAACTTCAATATTACTATTTTTTTCACGCTCTCGAAAAATCTAGGGTTTCGATTTTGTAATTTGACTTTGACTTAAGATTCGATTTTGACTTTAAAATTGAATTTTTAAAGACTTTGACTTTGATTTTTACTTTCAGTTTGACTTTCAGTTTGACTTTCACTTTGACATTGACTTTGACTTTTATTTTCACTTTGACTTTAATTTCATTTTGACTGTAACTTTGACATTCACTTTTGTTTTCATTTTCACTTTGATTTTAACTTTAAATTGACTTTGTCTTTCACTTTGACATTGACTTTGACGTTGATTTTAAATTTAACTTTGAAAGCCAAAGAAAAAGTGAAAATCAACGTCAAAGTAAATGTCAAAGTCAAATTGAAATTAAAGTCAAAGTCACAGTGAAAATGAAAGTTAATGTCAAAGTAAATGTCAAAGTCGATGTCAAAGTGAAATTAAAGTCGAAGACAAAGTGAAAATGAAAGTAAAATGAATGTCAACGTTAAATTCAAAGTCAAAGAGATATTAAAGTTAAAGTGAAAATGAAAGAGAAATTAAAGTCAACGTCAAAATTATTGTCAAAGGGAAATGAAAATTATTGTCAAAGTCAAAGTCAAATTTTCTCCTAATTCAGATTTAAAGCCAACCAAACAGATGTATCAAAATTTAAATGTCAGTAGGCAAAAGGAACAACCATAAAAAAAAACTGTGTGACACAAAAAAATAACACATTTCCTTCGCACGATTCCAGTATATAAACCCATTTCGCAAAAGTTTTATTGCAATCGTGAAGGAAAACGAGGGAAAGATGTGAAATTATTAAACGAATCTCCTGAAGAATTCTACTCCACTGGGCTTTTTTCAAACCCATACACATATTACACTATAAATAAAAAAAAAACGGAAAAAAACATGAGGGTAAAATTTTTGTGACAGCACAATGAAAAATGAAAGTTGCCGTAAAGTGACAAAGTGTGTTGTTTCACGCTATTGCGAAAAATACATGAATCTCAAGTGAAGACACAAGTCTCATTATTAATTCAGATCCGTATATAAAGTTTGATTCTCAACTTTAAGGATGAGTGAGTGAGTGAGTGAGAGAGAGAGAGAGAAAGAAGACGGGGGAGTGTTATAGTCGGTTCAAAACTTGGATTCTCTATGGTACACTGCACTGCTGAGATTTCACCTTCGAAAACTTTGTTCAAAGTCTTGCAGTTGTATCCGGTTAGTGGATCGATGGTAATGCTCTCCCACTGGAAAAGCATGTTACGATTGCTCGACCGCTATGTGTATGTACCTACTTACTGACAAACTTGTACTCTGGCGAGACTACAACGTTTAACCAACTCCTTGAGGTTGGAAAGATATAGTAAAGATAGGGGGGAGGTGAAGGGGCGGGGGGATTTGTTGACGTCAGTGTCGTCAACGCAGTCATCCGGAAGCTCGAACCCTCTTAACTCGCGTTTTACTTAAATAAGAAGGTAAGAACAGCGTTTCACGCTTACGAATAAGACTTTTCTACGAAAACTCGACCAAGACTCCAATTAAGCTGTTTAGATGCTAAATCCGTACCGTAGTTGGTACTCGTCGTTGTAACTATCATCCCTAAAAGAGAGAAAAAAAAAACACTTGGTATATCGCCGTGCATTAATTCTTCTCATACAATGGCTAAAATTTATAATTACATTCACGCTGATTGGACTCTTCTTCTTTAAACTATACTAATTTCGCCTGATACTTTTTTCGCAAAATCGAAAAAACCTTATCCTGCACAAGGCAAATCAAGGCAAATTTTATCAAATCCGTTACATTGACTTTAGTTGTTTTCAGAACGTATTCTGAATTTAGAAAATTTATTTTTACAACAAGAAGTGATTTCTTTTTTTCAACTCCAGTAGAAAAAGTGTGTTTAAATTTCTTTCTACTGGAGTTGAATTTTATTAACGATCAGGATTCCACCGACTGTATTCTAACTTTCTAATATGCATTTGCAGAACAAAATAATATGGTTACAATGTCTAAATTATCTTACTTGCAGATTTGCAGTTCCTCGAACAGAAAATTTGATTAAGACAACTGTTATAATGCATTTTGTGTCAGCAACTTTAGCATATTATTAACAACTAATAGTTCTAAGCGTCCTATTGTATATTTTCCTCCTGCATAGAATTCAAAACCAAATATGATAATCTGTATAAATTATTTATCGAAAACTAAAGATGAAAACTCATGATTGAGTACGACTTTCGTATTCTTTTTTTATTAATTCCACTTTTGCTAGCAGATAATAATCTTTTTTTTTGTGCAATTTTATTTTTATGTTGTTTTTTGTTTTTCTGAACGCAGCTTCAAACTGTTTAAAAAGTGACATTTAATAGAAAATATAAAAGAGGAAAATCCTCTCAATTAGAAAGGAAAAATTTAGTGCATATATGTAAGAGGAAAAAATGCTGCCTCGAATGCTGCAAAATAAGAGGAATCGTCTAAAATTGAAAACATTTTTTTTTTCGGTGGCAAATACTAAAAAAACAGCATAACAAGCAAACAAAAAAACGAAGTACAAAATACTGAGAGAAAAATAAAGTAAAGCAAAAAATACAACAACAGAAAAGGAATAAAAAAAAGCAAAACAAGTAAGAAATCCGTAGCGAAGAAAAAATATAATGAGAAAAAAAAATTGAAGCTAAAAATACAACCAAAAAGACAAAGTAAAGTAAAAATACAACAAAAAGGCAGAAAAAATAAAGCAAAGCGAAAAGATGATAGAGAAACAAAAAATATAATAAGAAAGAAAAATTAAAGGCAAAAAAAGGCAGAAAAGATAAAGCAAAGCGAAAAGATCGTAGGGAAACAGAAAATATAATAAGAAAGAAAAATTAAAATAAGAAAGAATAATTAAAATAAGAAAGAAAAATTAAAATAAAAACCAAAGTAAAACAGAAAGTATAACAATAAAAACAAAGATATAAAGAAAAAATATAAAAAATTTGAAATTTTCAAAAACAATGCAAAAATCATAGCGAAACAAACAAAAAAAAACAAGAAGTATAGTGAAGCAAAAAATACAACAAAAAAGCAAAGTAAAGCAAAGATGTACAACAAAAAGAAAGTAAATCAAAAATACAACAATAACAATAAAGTAAAGAAAGAAACCATAGAGAGGCAAAAAATACAAACAAACAAAAACAAAGTTAAACAAAGATTCAACAAAACACAAAACAAAGTAAAACAAACAAAAGGTAGAAAGAAGCAAAAAATACGAAAAGAACAATAAAGTGAATCAAAAAATACAACAAAAACAACAAAGTAAAGCAAAGATACAACAACCAAATAAAGCAAAAAGAAAAAACAAATCAAAGCAAACTAAACCGAATCGAAGCAAAAAATTCATTAAAAAACAAAGTGAACCAAAAAATACAACAAAAACATCAAAGTAAAGATACAACAACAAAATTAAAAAAACAATAACTAAATAAAAAAAACAATAACAAAATAAAGATAACAATAAAAAAATAAAGCAAACAAAAAAAACAAAGCAAATCAAAGTAAACCGCATAAAAAAAAAAAAAAAAAAAATACGATAAGGAAAAAGTAATGCGAAGTAATAAAGAAAACAAAAAAGCAAAATACAGCAAAAAAGTGCCACAAAAAAACAAAAATAGAGACCAACGATTTTTTGCACCAAAGAAGAAACCTAAATCAAGTCAAACATAACCGATTAAAGCCACCTTTTTTTCGCAT